TGAATGTGGTGGAAACAGGGAACAGGGAGGATTTAAACTGCATGATGTGTGTTAGCTCCTGGAAAGAGCATGAGATGCTCTCATGTAAAGCTGTCCAACGTGCTCTGTTCACAAAAGGAGGTGATCCTCGGGGTATAGTTAGGCCCTACCATGGCTTCTTGAGGTGTTCATGTCTGAATGATTATTGTATTTTCTTTCCTGCTCTTATGCAGTTGCCCTTTGACCTTGGAGTCAATATGATGAGATGGCAAGCATTGGCTCTCATTGAAGCCAGCAAGAGCAGTGGGCTCTCAATGCTTTGCAGGAGGCACTCATATTTAAAGGATCCCAAACCAGATGGCTAATACTAGATGTAGGTTATAGAGCTACAAGTGATTGCTATCAGTGGTGAGCTAGGGCAGGGGCTCCCAAATTTTGGGGCAACTTTACAGTCTTATGAGTTCCACTGTCAATCACAAAATTCCTCTTCCTTAGCCCCACAGTATCATCCTTTCTCCCTCCTTTGAGGATAATCTCCAGGCTCTGTACTAATGCCTGTGTGCTGCCACTAATGACCTCTATTCAGCTGCATGTGATGTAACCTATGGCATACAGTATAGTGCTTCCAAACCCAGGATGAGCTGAATTTTGGGGGGATTGGGATCTGGACTTTCTGGACGAAGGGCAAAAATGGACCCTTATATACTGTGGTCCAGCTTTGACTTCATTGGTCCCCTCTCTCCCCTTTGTCTGGAATTGTGGACAATGCAGAAAAAAACACAGGCATGCAAACAAAAAATCAACCTGGTTATATGTTTCAGCATTATTCAACATTTTGTGATTTTTTTTTTAACTTGTGTGAACTCCACTGAAAAAATGGAGGAATTCTAAGTTTATACCAATGTAACTGAAGCAGAATCTGTCCCTTTAGTTACAGTGCAACCTGAGAGCATTCATTGTAGTAGGCAATAAAGAGCTAAAGAACCTTAAATTAAACATACCAAACCACCACTGAAAATATCCACAGCAATTTGAACCTTCAAAAAAATCCTTGAATTCTAAGATTATCTGCACAAGGAAATATGATAAGTGTTCTTGCCTTTATAATTAAACCTAGCGGCAAAAGAAAAAGAAACACCCCCCCATACACCACAGGAACGATTTAAAACCCAAACACAATGCATTCAGTTAAATAACAACTTTTCTGCTCAATTTGCATATGTTTCTTAGGACTGGATCACTGAACGAGAAGCCTGGAAAATACATACAAGTTGAATAAAGCGTATCCCTTAATCCGGTGCATAAATTATTACATATCCATGTGTAGACACAGCATGTGTACAAGCCACCATGGAGGTAGACCGGGTTGACAAAAATGGATTTTATTCTAACTTCAAGTAAACTCTGCTGGATGAAGTCTAAAGCCTATTGGCATTAAGAATAAAAAGGAAAAATTGTAAGAACTGTTGGCTGGTACTATCATCACAGTTCTGTTTCCACAAGTGGAAAGAGGAGACTGAGACAGAAATAGCAGGAAACCAGAATGGTCTGTTTAGCCAAAATTAGAGGTCAAGTGTCCGGCTAACATTAGGATTTACACCAGTAGCATCAACAGCTTTGCTCGGTTGATATTTTTATTTGGCTTCCATGACACATTCAGGTTCTGCAGACTACAAGCTTCAATTAAAAACAAAACTTTCTAGCCCCTTAGGTTTGTGAAGAACACCTTCTAAAGGTAATCTGCCCAGCTCTATCTAAAAGTAGCCTGAAAGATTTCTGAGACATATTAAAATGCCATGGTTGTTTTTTTCTCAATGCTGAAGCCTAAGGACACTTTAATAGGAAATTTACTTCAAAGAGATGTCATCAGATCATGCAAAAATGTGTATGAGTTTGCATTCCTGATATATGTGTATTGTTAACAAGGGGCAGTTTATATGGTTACTTTTCAAAGAAAAATCTCATGTCAAGTGATATTCAAGACTAAAAACACAATTGAATTATATTGCCATTTCTAATTTAATTTTAAATTATGCAATATGCTTATGATTATGGACCTGATCCTGCATACCCTGCTCATGCAAGCAATCAATACCAACAAGAGCAATCCTCTGATTTCCCAGGGGTTACTCCTAGGAGTAAGGAATACTCAAGTGAGGAAGGTCTGCAGGACTAAGTTCTCAGAATAAGATTCACTCAAGGCCCTTTCAGCTAAAAAAACTAGACTCTAGGCCTGATCTGCAAAAACATGAAATAGCAGCTACCAGGGATGTGCTGCTAATTATTGGTAGTCTGGGTAGTTGAATTTCTTCTCCCAGAGATCCCAGATGCCTTCAATAAATCTAGATCATCTGATCTTTGAGCACAGTGGGTTGAACTTCACCTTAACTGAACAGTATAATGTACATGCAACAACAGCAGGTTTATAATATCATTGTAATTACATCTTGAATTAAAATGTTTTTCCTCAATATTCCTATCACACAGATTTACTTTGATCTAGAATTGACTGGAAAAAGAATTACAATCATTCCTGAGAATATTTACTTTTCAGTTTGACTTTGCAGTGTTTTATAACTGTTAACAGACAACATCTAAATGACATATAAAAGGTTTTGTTATTGAGAGTTAGGTAGTGTACAATGACAGAGGAGATGCTATAAGGAACTGCAAGGAGTCACACAGCAAGTTTAACAAATATATACATAACTTTCTTTTTTATACTCACCACTTCTCCATTTAAACCCCGATAGGTGGAAAGCACCTGAAATGACTCAGACTTCATCTTACTGACATGGTTCACAGGGGCAGGAAACTGAGAAGAGATTTAATAACTGCTAAGTAACTATTTGCTATAAAGCACAGACCGACAATCTTCAAAATAAATGTGGGCCAGTTTAGCTGCTATCAGTCTGTGTCATTCAGATGACTTGGAGTTACATCAGGTTTTTCATCCTCATGATGCCGATCTCTCCTATCTTCCTGTTTCTCACAGAATTCCACTTCGCCAGAAACAAAGAGGTCAAGAGACACTCTCCAATCTTGGCTAACAAGCTACTTTCTGCAGCAGGCTCTGGGAACTCTACCCACATGGAGTAATTTGATCAACCTCTAATACTGGAACCCAAACTAGATCGACCAGAAAGTGCTGTGGAACGTAGGTAGAAATGCATATGAACAAATAAAAATGCACTGCTTTTATACCAAAGTATATCAGTGCTTGAACAGAACACACCGTGCAAATCCATCCCCAAAGGTCTATTTTTTGAATGGGAACACAACACTCTTGAAAAAAACACTATGACGTATCAAATCATGGGACCCTTTGTTTTGTCTTACTTTTCATTCAGTTCTTCACATGCAATTTGGCACTGATCAGAAGGTTATAGAAGTTGTCATTTAGAAAGAATTTCTACAGAAAGAAAGAGGAAATTGTAATCAAAAAGTAACATAGAAGTCAGGCTTCTCAGAATGTGTCCCAGTAACATGAAGAAAGGCCTAGGGTATAAATTATGGGGTGGAGGTCTAAACAGTAAGGCTGGGAGGTCATTCTAGCTGCCATTTTTGAGAGCCTTAAGTTTTCCCCACCCATTTAACTGGGCTGTTTTGGATATGGAAGGAGAAATGACAAAGCAAGCGTCTCAGTCCAACCAGAGAAACGTTACGCAAAACAAAATCTACTGGTTCATCTGGACACTGACCGATCTGTTTTAGCCAAAAAAACCCCAAAACCAGCAAAATTGTATTTAGGGGCAAAAATGCTATAAGGAACCACAAGGAAAATAATCTCACTTGGCCACACTGAAGAGTGAGGTAGGAACTGAACCACCATGCTCAGGAAGCTGTATGGAGTCAGCTTCATTTTCCAGGGTTGCCAGTTCATGACACACACACTTCATTTTTAAGCTCTGATGGAAGTTTTTCAAACCAAAAAGTGTCTATATGCATGCTCAGGGGCAAGGGGGGGAGGCATTTTAGAGCGTTTCCTGGAAAGCCACTCTAATTAAAATGCTGCAGCATCATGTGTATTAAGTCCCCACATTTAAAGATGGCCATGGGATGCTTTATCTAAACCTCATTGAATAAAGCACCCCTCAGCCATTTTAAAAAATGCAGGGGTTTAATACACCTGATGCTGCAGCGACATTGAAGTGTTCTCATTAGAAAGTGCAGCAGACTTGATTGAGTCTGCGCTGATGCATTCTAATTAGAACATCAAGGAGCATGTGTATAGCCAGTTTTAGAGCTTAGATTACTGGCAATTTAATTCATTCCCAGCCCTGGGAAATAGTAAAATTATCTTACTGAGATCAATTTTCCTTCCCAAATTTAAAGACAATTTTATTTGCAGACGTTGCTTGAATGCAGTTATGTCACTTGCAAGAGATGATGATTGCATTCAAGCCTGGTTGTCATGTCACAACAAATCCATTACTGGATTTCTGGAAAAGTATATCCATTACTAAAAAAGGAAGCAAATCTGTTTTTTCTTTTCCTAAAACTGCTGTTGGCTGGGGCCACCCAGTAACTTCAATTCCAGTTTCCATCACAAGAAGCTGAGAATGTATTGGATCATGCAGGATTGGGACTCCAGTCCAAAGGGAGTAGGAAAATTAGGTCACCTCTTCTGAATAACATAAGCCATCAACACCTGCAAAAAAAAACTTCAAGAAAAGCAATCCACAAATACAATGAAGGTAAGCATAGCATATAAAAATAGTAAGTTCATATCTTGGCTGGTTACCACTAGAGAAAATATTGGTCCTATAGGAACTGTATGACTTTCACCAGCGGCACAGAAGATGACTTCAAAACTTTCTCTGCCTAATTCCCTGCTCTTCCACCCTCTGTTCCCCTGACAAGGGTCCAATTTCATACTTCTCCCTCAAGAATCAGAGAGAGAATGGTCTTGTATAGTCTGCTCTATTATATAAAAAGTAACAAAGCCCTTTTGCGCCACAAAGAAAAGCAAATCTGTCTCATAATACAGTGTATACATTATGCATCTGCTTAAGGGAGAAAATACGGGTCCAATTCTCTTCTTGCACACATCCGCATAAGTGGGAGCAACTCCACAGCAGTTGATGAAGTTACAGTGGTGCAACTGGGAGGAGAAACCAGACTTTTTTTACTAAACTTTTTCCTTAGCTAGAGTCATCCTAAGTTAGCAACTGTGAATCCTTTGAAGAAGGAACCAATGGAAGACACTTGCCTTCAGGGAGGAAAAATCCCTGTTGGCCCTGCTGGTTTAAGATCAAATATATTTAATGTGCAATATTGACTTCAGAAGCATGGAGTAAGAACAAGTTTCCTCAAGATTTTTCTATGAAAAAAAACCATTCCCCTCCGGAGGAGAACACGACTGTCCAGCCATCAGCACAGCAGTGCTAATTCACTAATCAACTGTTCGTCATTATTTAAATATATACGATGCTTGCTTTGTGCCATTTGTTTTTAGCTTTCTTTCCCCTGTTGTTTTTTTGGAAGGAACGTAATTATTCGCGTGACCATTCTTCTTCGGATTTGTACACGAGTATGTTTTTAGGCCCTTGGTAGGGGCCGCTGAACTAGGGAAGGCGGAAGGTTGCTTGGGGGGTCTAATGTTACCAATGCCCTGAATCTTAGAGCTGCTCTCACAAGGCTTCATATTAAGAAGTTGTTGCTTGGTGGTTGGCCTCTTTTTTGCCTCGCTCCTCATTTCACAGGTTTGCCTCTGAAAAGGCAATGAGCCACCCAGCACCTCCGCAACTTTCAAGTGATTCGGATATGCATCTAACTGGCTGTTTTCTTCACAGTGTAAATCTCTCCTGGGACCTGAATGAGTGGTGTGGAGCTTTGCAACATTTTCTTGGGGAGTTAGCTGCTTGTTAGGCAAAGGGCTATGCACAGCTTTGCCTTTAGCAGGGCTTTTTAGGGCCCGAGCGATAGCAGGAGCAGTGTGAGGCCTAGCTTTGGCCGCCTTTCCTTTCTCGTTCTGCACGGTTTGCATCTGCAGCCACTCCAGCTGCAAAAGCCGATCAATGTATTTCTCCAGAAATCCTGCTGGGCAGGGTGGAGATTCGGATTTCCCCTCTGTATTCACAAACACTGCCAACTGCTTCAGGTCCCAAGAGTTGAAAGGGTGTGGGAGGAAATCCGGGTAATAATACTTGGATTCTTTAAACTCTGCTTCAGAGTGGTGTTCCAAGCAGACGGGGTCGATTTCTTCAGCTCGGAGGTTGAGTGCTGGTGGCGTGCACGGAGATGGGGGAATGGGAATTCTTTCTGAGTCAGAAAGGTCACTGGCGCTGTCCTCATCGGCATCCTCTTTAATGATTTGCACTGCTTCAAAATCAAGAAACATCTCATTCACAGAAGCCCCTGGATATTTAGAAGTGCAGGGAAGAGCTTCAGCAATGCACTCTTCAAGATTGCTTTTGCACTGTCTTCTTTTATTGCTATAAAAACTTTGCATCAGTGCATCTTCTGCCCTGTTGCCACCACCCTGTGAACTGCACTTCAAGCTGGAAGGGATCCTCTGAAGCACAGACTCCTTCTCCTTTTTTTCTGGGAGGTTCTTCCTCAGCCCCTGTACTCTGTACAGCAATGCACCAGCACCCATCGCTCTATATCAGAAAGAAAAAGACAATTTACTATAAAAATAGTTGGTCTCCTTAGGGCTCCCGGCTTCACCAGGGCTTGATTCTCCCAGAGTTTATAGGAGCTGCCATCTTACATGAGTAGAAGACAGGAAATGAAAGATAAGAGCAATATATATATATATGTCTGTACATGAAAACCTTTATAAGAGAGATAAATATAAGCTGGCCGAAATCAGAGCGTGTCTTTACACCTGATCTGGGGGAGGGGGGTGCTTTAATTAGAGTGCCTAAAGCATCTTGTCTATTCATCATCCCACACTTCAAAACAGTGGCGGGGGTGCTTTAACTAAAGCTCATTCAACAAACTTTAATTAAAGTGTCCCCACTGCTATTTTGAAACATAGGGACACTGAGTACAGGTGATGCTGAGGCTCCTGGAGCATGCTAATTAGCATGTTCCAGCAGACTCAGTTAATTGACCCTGATCTAATTAGAATGAGTCAAAGCAGGCGTCAGGCACATGCACAGGTGCCCAGATTACCTACAGCCCTGTGTCCTGGGTGGGGCCCTTAAATATGCATTAGTTATAATCAGTGATCCTGGTTTTCTCTGATTGAAAAAAAATTCCCAATTTTTCGTTTAAAAACAAGTAACCCCAAATCCACATTTTCCCCTTTATTAAAATGAAGTGTTTCATTTTAATCTCTGAAAAATGTGAATTTGGGGTTACTTTTTTTAATCCAAAAATTGGGGACTTTTTTAAATCAGAGAAAACCAGGATCCCTGGTTATAATATGTATTTTATATGAAGTGCAGAGTGTATTAAATTCAGTTTGGCTTGAAGGTAGTGGCTGACCCTTACAAGAAAAGACATTTGAGATATGAGATATTTCATTTCTCATATCTGTGATACGAGAAATGAAACAGCTAGGTTCTCTGGGCCAACAACTGGTATATATCGATGTTAACTCTCTGACTTTAGTTTAATTATGTTGAATTATATCAGCTGAAAATCTAACTCCCTGAGCCATTAAATGCTTACTATTAAAAACAAAAACATTAGTTCTAAATGAGTGCACGTGTTCATCGGTCATCATTACAGAGCAAGTATTTGCCCCCAGTTGTCATGAGTCAGAAGATACCAGTCTTGAAACTGGAAATAATGCCATGTGGTCCCTGTTGGGAAGTGTTGCCCTTTTAAACACAACCAGCTGTCTAATCTCCAGGCTAACCTAAAATTAACTGGTGGAATATTTGGTCAACAACAGATGTAAACAGTCAAAAGCCCAAAGGAGGCTACAAACGACACCCTGACTATGGATGAGAAGCTGCAGTGGCCAGGGTCAAGACCCCGCAATAAAAATAGACTTGGTGTAACCCTGAGCGTATGACCAATATGCAAAACAGATTTTCTTTTCCAGGGAGACTACATAAAAATCCCTACGTCTCACTTTCCAGATGAAGTTGTAACAAGCTCTGAAAAATATGTTGGGTCTTCATATTGTTCATGCTGCAGGCCTGAGCGCCTCATTCTGTTCAACTGCAAGGTTTTCACGTATCAAAAAGCATCTACCCAATCCTTCTCTGTTTTCTCACTGAGTCTCCATTGTCAAGTCTTTACACAGCTCCACAGTGAAATGGGTTTGTTCCAGATACCAAGTACTCTCCACCTCTCCCCTGCAACAACTCTCTGAAAACCCACCTCTTGCCACAAAAATGTCCTATTTTGATTCTTCAGGGACTGTACCATCAATTACCTTATGATTTTCCTTATTTCTTCCTCCTGGATCTGTTTTTTAATGGAAGCCTTTTGAGGTGGATAATAAGCTTCCATTTTGGTAAGTTAAATTTGCATGTCTAATATGTGAGTATGAATGTGAAAGATGAACTCATGGCCCCTTTGATGCCAAAGGCATTACAAAAAGATCTATGGAAATGAGTTGAGGACAATATAAGAAACTTCACCTGTTTTTCTGATGATCCTCATCTAGCCTATTTCTTTCCTTGCAAAGAAAATGTGGTTGATCATCACCCTGGGTGTGATGGGAACCCTAGAAATCATAAGCAAATATGTGAACCTATCATTGCAGTAAAGAAAAACATTAAATAAAAAAATTTAGCCTACTTTGTAAATGCACAAAGAATTTGAGTGATTTACCTTTTCGGTGCCATTTGAAACAGTCTTTCCTAGTCTGCTGGGAAAAGGTTTCACATGGGGGATTTGTTTCTTTAGTCCTTTGGTACTTGCATGGCCCTTTCCACCATTGGAACTAGCAAGGGTTAAACAGGATATTTCTTTCAAATAACGATATACTTGATAGTAACAGCATCAATGAAGTACAAGTTTGCAAGGCAGGTCAACTTGTGTTGGTTGTAATTATGCTTTAATCTAAGAACATGTAAGACTCAAAGGGCATATTGCATCAACTATTTAGTGGTTACTTCTAATTTACACAGTGCGTAAGTGTTTAGCACAAAAATAGATCATACATTAGTAATACTTTTGCACTTTGAGTAATGCACTGAAATCAGAGGCTCTCAAAGCAATCTGCAAATATTAGTGATTATCAGTATTATATTCCTTTGTACAGAGCCTAACACAGTGGGTCCTGTCTGGGATTAGGCACTATGGAAATAAAAACATACAACAATAACAGTATAGCAAGGCAAATCCTGCTGACCTTTCACATGTGCGTAGTCCCACTGACCCTTAAAGGATTATTTTTAGGAGGGTTGTAAGCAGAACTTGGCAGGGACTCTGCAGTTTGTTATGATATTTATAGTAGCTGTGTCACAACGGCAGCATAAAAAGCAAAAGCCACAGTTTTATATATCATGGGTTGGTGCCCTTATCAGTAGCAGAAACCTCACATGCATTCAAAAGTAATGATATGCATTATGCACTACAAATTTAGACAATTTGAAATTATAAATTGGGGGATATTGCCTCACCCAAAAATAAATCAAATTAACTCTCTCTGCAGGCATAAACCAATATACCATTAAAAACAGCAGCTTAGCTAGGATTTAGGGAAAGTGTGTTTGCACAGCACACAAGAAACAGCATACCTAATTTTAAGAGGCAGCACTTTAAGACGTCACCTTAAAACAACAGAAAGCAAACTGTATCCTGCAAGTCTATTTTCAGATGAACTGCAGTCAGATGCACTTGTCTATCAGTACCTTGGATTCATTTATCTTTTAAGTCTTTTTTTTTTTCTCTTTTGGTGGGTTTTTTTGCTGTTCTTCCTTGTTTTATTTGTTGGAAAATACTCTTTTATTTTTAATGGCTTATAGATTAATAAAAGCGAGTCCCGGTCCCTTCAGTATTAAAGCAACGACCTGAATAACTTTGTGACCTGCCCATACACTGTCTGATCACCTGTGTTGTTGGGGCCAAAAAAAAAAAAAAAAAAAAAGAAAAGGTAAAAGAAGCAAATGATAAGCTGGCTAGGGCACTTAAACACACAAAACAGTTACCTACTAATTTACATTAATTTAAGACTGCCCTAACTAAAGAAAGAGAAAATAATAATTTCCTTACATTACCATTCCTTTGTGGGGTTCATGGGTTTGGTTCTCCTTTTTCTGTGTCCCTCTGTGCAGTAATAAGGAGTAATCTTGAATTCCCGGTCCCATTATTACTCCCTTTAAAGAGTATTTGCACCTTTTATTTTTGCATCATCTTACGTAATCTTAAACAAAGGATTCCCGGTTTGTGTGCGTACAAGACAGAGCATTTCTGGGAGAAGGATCACCACATCCTGTGGATGCAGTAAACAGACACCATGCACCCCACTTCTCCCCCCCCCGGTATGATTTAATCTGTTTTTAGCAGTAAGAGAAACACAATCATCTACCAAATAGTCCTGCCAACCGGTTCCCCCTCCCCCATCATTGGCTTAAGAGCCAGCTGCATTATTCATCTTACTATTGCTGATCCTTGTTGAGCTGTCATCACCAGAGGTACTGAATGGAGAGCAGAGCAGCACCGGCAGCAATGCTCCCCCTCCCTGGGGAATAGGTTGGCCATTAATGCTGCAAAGCATTGTGGGCCAAGGACAGCAGTGAGATACGCACACTTTTCTGCAGGAAGCCCTGCTGCTGCTGCAGTCATCAGGCTCAGCCTGTCCGTCACTCCTGACTAGCATACTCGGGATAAGGGGAGGCTGGACTAGTATTATCCCGTCACATTCGTGTCTTGGCACTGTTCACAAACACGCCAGTAAAGCGTTGGTTGTAAAGGCATGGGGTTGTGTTTTCCAGCAATGGGAGAAGAGCAATTTTTTTTTTTTTTACTTTGCAGCACACTCCCCCTTGCTTTGCTTCATTTTTCCCTTATGCAAAATTTGGTACATTAAATGGAGCTGAGTCCCGTGGTCATACCCTTGGGGATGTGCTCTGCTTATAATGAGAGCAGATGACCGTGCCCCCACAGGTCTGTCCCTGTAGGCTGATGTTTTATTAAAAAATCAATTCTCGGAGCATTTTTGTACCCGCTGGCAAATTTTGACACTGTATACAGCTCAGTTTTTGCCTCTCCTTCAAAAACTGTAATCCTAAGCAGATCCACCACCTGGGGACTCTCCTCGAATACTGGCATCCCTGCTGGCATTGCAATGGTAACTGGATGTTCGTTTCCCCGTTAGGTCACACTCCTTAATGGATGCACCTATAATGCCCGTAACTAGTCTCTCTCATTTTTCCGATATGCTTCACACTGTCTGTGGCCTCCCCACATAGCAACCTTCATACCCCTTCAGTCCCCTATGGCACAACTTTCCTGCCCCTTTCTTCTATGCTGACCTCTGAGCCTGTCAAGAAATTGCCCAGTCACCAAGGGCAAGATTTTTTGTCAGCAGCTAGTCACGTGGGTGACTCGCTCATTGAATTTCCAGCACGTTACAAGGAGTCAGATTTTGAAGAGTGCTAAGTAGCCACCTTCCAAAAAATCAGCTTCAAGGTAGGCATCAAGAATCAGTAGTCATTGGGCACATCTACATGGGATGATTTATTTGAGATTAGACCAAATTGCTGCCCTGTAAGCATCACTGTCTACATGTGTAGCTGCTTACAGTACAGTAATTTGCTCAAATCGTGAGTAAATTTGCTACCTGTAAATACAAGTAGCAAATTTACTCGATTACGTACTGCACCATAGGAATGTGTAGATGCCCACCAGGGAGCAAACTTGCTCCCAGTCAGCCAGGTAGCAGCAGGTGGGAGATTGTCCCCACCCGGACTTTCATGCCCTGACAGCAGAGAGCTCACAGGGACAGGGAGCAATGTCCCTGTGCCCCAGCAGCAGGGAGCTTCCAGCCTCTGCTCCCTGATTGTGATTGTGGAGCAGGGGCTGGGGAGATTGTTCCTAGCTGCAGCTCCGTAATTGCAAACCAGGGCCCAGTTCCATGATTGCTTCCCTGCAGGCTTCCCAGCTGGGAGCTGTCTTGGTTAGAGGAAGGTCCCAGCCCCATGCCCCTTTTAGGCGATCAAGGTACAGGGCTTGAAAAGAGCTGCAGGGGACACAGGTTCCCCATCTAGCCATGGGCTCACTGCTACCTGCCCCATCGGCAGATCAGGGCAGGGGGCTGAGACCTGCCCCTTCCCTGCAGCTCTTTCCAAGTCCCCTGCCCCTGATCAGGGAGCTGGGGCCAGAAGCTCCCTGCTGCTGAGGCAGGGGGACCTTGTCCCCTCCTCGACTCCGGTGGCAGAGCCCACACAGGCAGCAGGCAACCTCCGCCCTAGCAGTCTCCTGGCCCCGTGCTCCCCGCCAGCCTCTGGGCTAGCACCCAGGGCAAGCCCAGGGCTCTTCCTGGCTGATGCAGGGGGCTGGTGCAGGGCCGGGGCAGGAGGGAGCAGACTGCTACCAGGAGCAAAAGATCTGCTCCCTCATCCCTGCATGTGTAGATGCCTGCCCGGGCTGGGTTTACTCTAAAGTAATTTACTGTAGAGTAAATGCACCCTGCAGCATTTGCATGTGTAGACACATCCACTGTGGAAGAATTTTGACCTAAAGTCCCTCCCAAATGCATTTTTCCCAAAAGGGCTGTAAGAGGTGAGCTATAAGAAGTGTATAGTTTCTGCTTGTGTAGCTTCCGTGCACAGAGTCATCAAAATATTTATATTTAACCTGCTTCGGTATCAGGTGTTTTCTCCCTCACTTTTCATGTCATATCTAAATCCTAGACTACAAGTACTGGTGGCAAAGAGCATGACGTGCTTTGCCTACCTTTCATTTTAATACCCATAGTAAAATACCTGTAGAACGGATGTGTAGGTTGCAGCCGTGTTGGTCTAAGGACATAGGCAGACAAGATTATTTGGGTAAATGTGATATCTTTTATTAGAGCAACTCAAATAGTTGGAAGAGTTCTTCTGAGCCCTCTTTCAGGTACAAATACCCTTCGTCAGGCTGAGGAAGCATCTGTAGTTGGTGCGTGCTCTTCCTGGGTGGAATGAATAGTCGATTGGAAGAAACGAATAGTCTACCCAAAGAACGTTGTCTGTAGCATGGACACACACTTAACTGCTTGTGATTTGTCACGGATGCGATCAGTGCAACATGCTGACTTTGTGATTCCTGAAACCCAGTTTCTTTTATTTTCATTTGTGAGCAGAACTGGAGATGCATCTCCATGCACATAGAGGATCAAGTACATCCCGTGGCTTGCCTGCTCTGTGGGGCTGAGGCTGAGCCTTCCTTTCCACTTGTGCAGTGGCATAAAGGGAAGCCTGCCAATGGCTCTGAAATTGTAGCAGGAGGAACCTGGAGGGCAGGGACCATCTTTTTGTTCTTGTGCTCTTCACCCCATTTTTATTTTTATTTTTTTTGCAAAAATCTAGTTGGTCTAATAAAAGATATCACCTCTACCGAGGGTGGCCATTCATCCAGTTTTAGAGGAAAGTCTGGTTTTCTGATCTTCTATCCTCTATTGATATGAAACCAGATGCCTTTATGTCCTCTATTTTTCACCACTCGGCCCTCCCTCCTTCCCGCCCACCACCCTCCACCGCTGACATCGCTGCACGGCTGCCTGCAGGAGCTTGCTCTGCCTCCCCAGCCTTGGGAGACACGCAATGTTCATCAATACCAACTAATTATGCTAATTGATTGATTCCATCATGACATTGCCTAGCAGCACCCATGTGGGGCCAGGATGCCACGAAGTGAAGGCAATCAGGACTTGTGGAAGACGTAAGGTGGCCATCGAGGTACTTCAAGAATAGAGAACAGTTGCTTTTAGTGCAACTGTCTTGAGGTACCTTGAGGACGACCCCACCACGAGTCCCGATTGCCTTCACCCCATGGCACCCTGGCCTCACCTGGGTGCTGCTAGGCAATGTCATGATGCAGTCCATTAATGAACATAATTAGTTGCTATTGATGCGATTATTAATAAATGTGATCCATTAGTAATGATAGACTTTGGGTCAATGATTCCCACGGATCCTGACTTTCTCTTAGCGAAAAAAAAACAATCCCCAATTTTTGGTTTTAAAAAAAGGAACCCAAAATCCACATTTTCCAGTGACTAAAATGAAACACCACTATATAGTCAGGTATCCAGGTTGTAGCTATATTGGTCTAAAGCAAAAGGCAATCAGGACTCGTAGTAGAGACAATCTCTTTTATTAGACACACAAGATTTTTGCAAAAAAACCCAAAACAATTCTTTAATCGCAAGCTTTATTTGTGCCTGAAAGCTTGCAATGAAAGAAAAAATTGTTGCATACCACTATATATCTATAGATATATATGATAGATATATATCTATAGGTATCTATAGATCTATCTATATAGATCTATAGATACATATATCTATCTATAGATATATCCATCTACATAGATAGATACATAGATATATCTATATATAAATATGATAGATATATATCTCTAGAGCTATCTATAGATATAGATATATAGATATATCTATCTATATATAGATAAATATATGATAGATATATATCTATAGAGCTATCTATATAGATATATAGATACATAGATCTATCTATCTACATAGATAGATAGATAGATAGATCTATGTATCTATATATCTATATCTATAGACAGTTCTATAGATATATATCTATCATATATTTATCTATCTACATAGATAGATAGATAGATAGATAGATAGATAGGCGGCATTTCATTTTAATCATGGAAACGTAGATTTGGTGTTCCTTTTTTTTTTTAACCAAAAATTGTGGATTTTTTTTTTAAACTGATTTTTTTAAAATCCTCTGGTTTTCTCTGAAAGAAGCAGGATCCCCGATGATTACTAATGAACACTCCTGCCCTCGCCCTGTCTCCTCCCTCCTCCTTTCCCTTCCCCTCCCCCCTACCCATCCCGCAGACTGCAGGTGCCTAGTGAGGGCAACCCGAGGACAGCGGCTTCGCGACACCCAGTGCGCACGCTCCGCACTCGGAGCATGCGCAGAAAGGCCCGCGGCTCTGATTTGTCGGTGGCGCGGGCGGCGTGACGTCACGGGCGCCGCGCTGTCAAGCGCCGCG